AGGACTTTACCTGTTTTAAGGTCCTGCAACAGACAAAAGTCATCATAGAAACGGAAATAGAAATTGTTCACTTTGGCTAATTTCCTGACTGATAAAAGATTGTATTTAAAATCAGGCATATGAAGGCAAGAAGTCAGAATAACGGATTCAGAGAGTCTAACATCTCCTATATGGCTGACTGATTTGACTGATCCATCAGGTAACAGAATAGGAGTGAAAGAGGAGACATGTTTTGAATGATTCATTAACATAATATCTCTACACATATGACCTGTTACTCCTGTATCTTTAACCCATGCCCTAGGATCTATGTAATCAAAATAATTAGAACAAAGCTTAGAATAAGTTGTGGTACCTGCCATATCATGGTAATGTACCATGTTCACCATATATGATCTACCTTTTCAGTAACATCTTTTCCTTTCTCCATTTTTCCAATCTCCTTTTGTACTGCATTGGCAATCAGCATTTGTAGATCTCCTGAATTATCCATCTCCAGTGAAAAAGGGGAGTCTACCATATGTGCAGAACTGTACTTGTTACTTCCTCCTTTCCTCGCATTGTTTGGCCACCATTCTGGGAATCCAATAAGCTTAAAACAACCATCCTTGAGATGACCATCCTGTTTGCAGTAAGTACATTTCAAACCTTTCTTGTCAAGGTGAGGTGGATATCTATTTAACTTGTAGCATTCCTCTCTCAGATGACCCTCTATTTGACAGTGACTGCATTTCTTCTGTGTCTTGGAACCTGTATTTGATGATACTGCATAATTCTTCTTCCAATCTAATGCACTGGCCACCATTGCCACATTTTCTGAATTAGATCCCATGTTTATAGTGACCTGTCTAGCTGTCTTTGCCTTAGTCAACATATTGTAAACCAATTCTTCCTCTGGTATTGGATCCATAAACAGAATTCTGTTCTTTTCTTGTTCATATACTTCGCTTAACCCCATAAGAAGCTCCATGGACCTGTCTTCAATCATACGAGTTCTCAACAACTGGCCAATTTCTCCCTCAATCACAGGTGTTGGATGTAACTGTTCATACTGATCCCATAGTTGTTTCAATTTTCCATAATACTGAGCTAAGGAGGAATCTCCTTGTTTTACCAATGCTATCTCACGCTTTATTTCAAAAAGCTGAGGTGAATTAGTCGTACTATATAATTTTTTAATTTGTTTCCATAAAACCATTGCATCATGTATAAACATGAACAAATTCACCAAATCAGGAAAAATAGAACTCTTAATCCATGAACAAACAAGACTATTTGCTCGATCCCATCTAACACCCTTCAAAGTATTTTCTAGTGGTCGAGGTAAAGTTCCATCAACAAAACACAACTTCATCTTAGCTTATAAAGCAGGAATCATCGCATTCTTCCATATCAAATAATTCTTTCCATTCAACAATGTCGAAACAAGAGAGTACCTGGACTTTCTGATCCATGAACGTGCAACTGTTCATCAATTAAGATCTCGAGTTCCCTCTGATTCGTCTCCATCAGAATCCGATGCCTAATTTCCTGCTCATCCTCCATATTAGCCATGTAATTTCTAGTCCAGAGACTAATTATCAAGAAATTGAACTTAGAACAACAATTGTGTATTTCTCAGGAACCCTAATTTGATTCGTTATCAAGCTATCAGAGTATCTTTCGAGCGGAAACAGAGTAGGAATCAATCCCGCTCTGATACCATCAAGAAAGTACCAACCGAGAACTTATTGAAGATTAGTGTAGAAGAAAAATGAATGATGTCAAGATCGAAGATCCCCAAAAGTGGAGAGAAGCTGCAGGAAAAAAATGAATATTTCACTGTATAATTTATGTGTATTCTACCTCATGCTTTTGATCAATGTTATATATATACATCTGTTGCCGTTTTGTTGTTTAACCAACTTATAGTCAGGTTTTGATCTCAACCGTCCAATCAACTAACCGCCTGATCGAACGGCTCCTGCTTATTCCTGGATTTGACCTGTGTTTCCCGCCAAGGTCTGTTACACAGATCAGCTTGAACCGGAAAGTGCTGCAAAGGATCATGTGCTGCAAACACTTCCTGCACTGTGTTCGATCCTTTTTCCTGGTATTTCATCACATGCTTGATGAGTACATATGTTGTCTAGCTCGTCGTCACCGATAGCTTTGGATTCTTATTCTAAAATAGATGGCTTTATTGTTGATTAAGATAAGAGAAGTGATAAAGTAGAGACGTAAGGGTTCAAGCAAAAAAATCATAAATTTATATAATTTTAGGAGTTTGATTTGTCCTGGAAATAAATGTAGTGTAATTGGAAGCAGTGACGGAGCCAAGACTTTTATAAAGGAGACGTGAAATTTATAAAACATTATAATGAACTGGAAGTAGGTGAAAAAATGAATAAAACATAAAATTTTTTGAACTCAAAATTTTGTGTATTTCTACTAAATCGAAAATGTAAAGGGAACCAGTGCTTCACGAGATCCATGAGATCCTTATCTCGAAGAGGGAATTCAAGGTTGAACATACCTTTCGGGAGAACAATTTTTGTGCTGATTTGCTTGCAAAATCAGCATTAAGCCTAGATGTAGATATAGGACTTTTGTTATGTGAAAGAGTCCCGAGCTCTATAGAATTGCTTCTGCAGCAAGAAGCTGGGAGTTTCATTCCCTCTGTAACGCAGAATTAGAATATACCTACTGTACTTCTTTGTTACCCGAAAAAAAATAAAAATGCAAAGGGTGATCCCGCCAGCCCCTTGGCTCAAATTGCTGATTGGAAGGGGTGATGACGAAACTCACATCTTATATTGTGATCATTTCCCATGTCACGTTTGACAAAATTCAAACATAGGTATCTCGTATCTCCGACAACTTTCTTACTGTCCTTTCAGGGACATTCAATAAAATTGGAACAACTTTTTTATAAGTTTCATCTAGCCAAACATAGGGCAGAGGATAATTTTCTTATGATTTCAGTTAATTAACACGGGAAATAATGACTTTGTCTAGCGGTTAAAGACCTCCGGGTCGCCGCTTTTCACTAGCAATACCAAGGAGAGAGGGGTCTAATCCAGTTAGTCAATCATTTCCCTCTAAGCTCCCAACTATAATTTTTAGGTGATTTCTGAAAAAGATAATAAAATTCTATAGGAATAAAATAGTGATCTAAGAAAGACCACCCATCAGTCTCATTAAATAATACTAGCTACTAGAAAAGAGATTTGATATATAAATATGGGCTTTTGAATTTGACTCTTATGTTGGACGCTATATTCTTGCAGTTTGTTCACATCAAATGGCATAATTTGTTATCAAAATCGAGAATTTGTCCATCACTACAATTTTCACGAGTTAAATGTATGGTTAGGTAGAATTGAAAGTTACAAAAACTGATCGTCCAAAAAAGTCACAACATTTTTTAAGGTCCATATAAATCCACGTATGGTTCTACCTCAAAATTAATTGACTATAAAGGGAGCAATACATAGGATATATATGTTGATCAAGTAGGATTCCCAACTCTAATATATGACAAATGTCTTTCCCTTGTTTTTCAAGTTCAAAGGGGTTTTAACCCACTACTCAAGCGACCCTTTGAACCATTTAAAGGCCCAAATCGGGTTTTTGGTTTAGTTGAAGACCAATTTCAGGATTTTTGGGTTAGCTTGAAGACCCATTTGGGGTTTTTTATTTTGTCCCAAAAAAATCGCCAGGTCAGTCAAAGTCCACCTACAAAGTCCGCGAATTAAAACCCACTCTGATACCATCTTGAAGGCCCATATAAGCCCACATGTGATTCTACCTCCAAACCAATTAGTTATGAGGGGAGTAGCACATTGGGTATATACAATAGAATGCCAATAAATTAATAATTTATAAATTAATAACTTCTAGCATTAATAATTTTCACTTGTCCCAACTTGGGACCAGTACAAAAAGTGTACAAAATCGAAAAAATGATGAGATAATAATGTTTTAGAAAATCTCCTATATATTTATAGGTTCCAACAATGCCATAAATTAATAAATACACTAAAAGTAAAATAATAATAATAATAATAATAATAATAAATATTTAGTAAAATATAAACTATTCATACTTATTTTTTAGTCTGTGGAGATGATATGAACTGTGGATAGGCTTAAAGTATTCAGAAGAGTTTAATACTTGATTTTCGGACGTAAAGGCAATTCCAAATTAAGAAATTTAGTGACATTTTTTTTTCCTCATAGAAATTTTTTAAATTAATAATTGATTAATTTATTGATTATTTAATAATTATCTAAATTAATAAATTTGGGAATCTTAATATTATTAATTTATAGAAGTTATATTGTATATTTATCAAGTAGGTTTCCCAACTCCAACGTGGGATAAGTATCTTTCACTTATTTTTTAAGTTGAAAGGGGTTTTAATAGAAGTTTATGATTGTCAGCTTAGAAAAGAGAAGATAACATTGACCCAATACAAACACTCGGTCCTTGAAGCATAGCCAGCATAGGCTTCACTCAGTTAACAATCTAAGGTGTTGCGTTCCTTGAGCTCGCAAAATTGTTAATTTCTGTTCCGAAAATAGTTCGCATCGAACTTTGAGCGTTTAGTCAAATGATGCGACATTCATTAAGTTGATGTTGTGATTTTTTATTTCACGTAAGAGAATTTTTTTAGACTGGAGTTATTTTTTTTAAAAAAAGAACTAGATTTGATATGAAATGTAAGTGTTAACGAATGAGTGAGGAAAACATTATTAATAGCAAAGATCATGCTTGTTTAGATGATGAATTTCTCAGTCATGAAATAATTGTCATATTTATTGCATTACTTTGTTCACCAAATAATCTTTATATTTCATTGAAATTCAGTTAAGATGACAATAAATTTCGGAACGAGCTAATTTTTCAGACTTATCCAATAAAAAAAAAAAAACAAAAGCCAACGAGAACTAGTTTGTCCGAGTAAGAAAAACAAGATTCGAACGAAGCAAACATTAGTATATGTATAATCACTTGAGCCGAAAGCTGGAAAAACAAAGATTTAAACAACACTCTGATCGATCCAGAAAACAAAAAAAAAAAAAAGACTTTATTCTCATTATCTTTTCTCGTAGCTTGGAACTGGAAATATTATGGATTTGGACCATTGCCCTTTTCCTTCTTCCGTTGATCTCTTTCTTTACCCCACTCATGCATTGAGAGGTGAAGTTTCTTGGTGGTCACAAGTAAATTGGCTGCCTGCAATGGCGTAAGGATGTTGAAGAGTTCTTTCAGTGTATTCAGCCTCAGTTTGTCAGCATCCAACAGAATATGCCCCAGAGCCAGTGAATGGCCTTCTAAAACCTCATCCACGTTGCGGCTCGATTCGCCAACCTGACTTGCTCTTTTCACGATCATTGCCAGTGGATCGTCGGCAATCTCTTCCTGTACTTGTAGAATATACATAGTAAAGTCCAAAAATTGGGAGCAAAATCTTACCTAAGATTCGGTGCACGCATATATGTATTAATAGCATGTAGCATGCAAGCCAACAAAATTTGATCATTTTGTGACACGGGATGTATCTGACAGAATATATTACGTAATACCATCTCACATTTTAATGACTATTTATTTTACAATAGAAAACACTATTTCATTGTTGGGGTACAAGATAGGCAACAGAAGGTGCAGAAAGGAAGTTCAGACTAAGTTTCATTCGACCAAGACATTTTTAATATAGGCGATATACAATAGTATAAAATTAACCCCAACAATATGGTTTGTAAAGAGGATCAACATCAACGTCAACATGGTCAATATAGTTGGGGTCAGATATACCCAGGTTTATCCCTATATTAATACAAGTGTCTGTTTGAATTGCTGCCCAAAATACGTTGCCAGATAGCTAGAGAGGATACAATACGATAAAAGCGATATACCTGTAAGCTGGCCATCTTTTCAGCTATCTTCCTTTCCTCACCAATAGTTTTCAAGTGCAAAGAGTTGATCAAATTAAGCTGACCTGAAGAGATGTCCGCCAAGTTTCCGCTCCGATTCTCAACAGAGGAAGAAGAAGAAGATGACGACAACGGCACAGCCATGAGCTGATCGAAATTATCATCACCGTTGTGGATGAGGATGCCCAGTTCGGATCCGCAAAGGCTGTAAACGAGCCGAATCGCGAGCGAAGGCCGGCAGCCACCGATCCAAAGGAAAGAGCCTTCAAAGCAGGAGCACCAGGAAGGGCACAGGAACGAGGGCGCGTATTCTCTTGCTAGTAAAGCTCGTTTCTGGATGTACTCCTCAAAATGTTGGACACCTTTCTCAGCTAGGAATCGGAAAAGTTGCTGATCGTCGGCACCGGTGCCGGGGCCTGCCTCGTCGACGTCGTCCTTGTTGCTGTTGTTGTTATTATTATCTGTGTTAGGGACCATCATGATTGCATGACGAAGCTCTTCCATGTCTTGATGTTGCTGGGTGATCCATTCCTGGAAGCAACGTTCAAATTGGTCATGGAAGCTGCCGTTGTTGCTATTCTCCATTTTGAAGAAATCAATACAAAAAGAAGAAAAATAGATGGTGGATTGTCTGGGACCAAGTTGATCATCATTAAATAAGGAGCTAAAGATTGAATTGGAGGTGATGATGTTGAGAATATTTGAGACTTGAAAAATATGCAGGTTTTGGAAGCTTTGGGTAAAAGCCATAATAAGAGGCCATGCGCCGCCTTCCCAATTCGCATACCTGAAAACCGACAACTTTGCTTAGTTTCTTTCATCTTTGTCGGGTAGGAGAGACGAAGATATCTACCGAAAAATGAAAAGTTTGGGAACGTGATCTTCGCTCTTCGTTGGTAAGACTTTAAGTCAGATCTTTTAGAGTAATAAAAATCGAAACTCATTTAGAATCGACCGGCGAGTATTTCTAAAAGTTGATAGCTTCTTTTCTTTTGTTCTAATAAAATGAAAACGAATTTTCCGTTGTTTGCGTTTCTTCTTTTGGTTACCTGTTTATTTTGTGCAATTCGGCTCAAAATCACGATTGACAATATGAGGAAATTACCATAAGTTACATATCATCAGTTTAAACTTTGACACCTACATCTAACAAAAATAATTCTCATTTTAAATTGAAATTTAAAAAAAAAAACTAAAAAGAAATATACAATTCTCAAAATGTAGATTTTTTTTTTATGAGACTGAAGAAATATTATCCAAAAGATATACTAGATATAAGATACTATATATTAAAATCTAATAGATAGATGCTCAAAAATATCTAGTTATGTATCAGGTCGAAAAATGTTCAAGTCTATACTCTTTCATTCACGTTAACAAAAGACGAAATATGTTATTGTAACGATTTCGAGACCCAGATGGTGACACAAAATTGAGGCACGGAACAGTTTGATATATATGTTGACAGTACAGCTGAAAATGAAAGAAACTAAAGTGCATTGAACTTGGAAGGAAAAAACAAGGTTTGGCTCACGGGATGGAAATTTTGATCCGTTTATTGACGGAAGTCGGCTCAGTCAGAATTTCAACTTATGCTCAAATGACGGAGTCAGACATTAACGAATGTAAAGGCAAATTTTACTTGCAAAAAGAGGAAAAAATAATGATCCTGCAGAGAGGAAAATAAACTAAATTTGAGGTTTATGAATTAAAAATTTTGCATGCACCCTTTCCTAAATATTTGTACTGCTAGTCCCGCCCATGTGAACTTGAACTCCATTCTGTGTCTATTTTATGTCTTATTAGGATTTCTACATTGCGCATATATTTTAAAACTCCAACTGTAAACAATTTTTCGTGGAGTTGCGCTACAAACTAATACTAATCTTCCACTCTCGCTACTTCGATTAATGTCTTCAGACATTCAAATACTGGCCAATTACTTACACGAATTAAAACAAGAATAACAAATATTAATTAATGGAAAAATCAAATAATAATGAACCAAATAAACCAAATAAATTCGGTGGCTACACTCAAGCCCTAGATTATAGAATTTTAGCCTCTAAACATTATTAAAATTGAATCAATAATAATAATATTCATAATCTAAAATTCTTAAAATCAAATTAAAACTGGAATAACCAAATCCAAATTAAAACTCCAAATTAAAACTGGAATAACCAAATCCGGCGGCTTCCTTGTTTTCGCTTCAACTTCTTCTAGGTTGGTGGAAGATTGAAGCTTGAAGGTGATGATTGGCTGGTGTAGCAGAGGTGGTGCGTGGGGGAGGAAGATGATGGTGCTGCTGGCTGCTTCGTGGAGATGGAGGAGAAGAAGCAAGGTGGAGAAGAAAAGATGATGCTGCCGGCTGGTGCGTGAAGTGAGCAAGGGAGCACGGTGCTGCTTATGGAAGCAAGGTGGTGATCGGCAGAGGTGGGCAAGGTGAATCGGCGGAGGAGTTCGGTGATGGAGTAAAGATGATGATTAAGGTGAGGTCAAAGTGGAGTTGCAGCAGGCAGGAAGATGGAGCGGCGGGAGGAGGGTTGAAGCCGTGAAGGTTTCGGTCAAGTTCGGTTCAGTTCTGTTGTAAAAATAAATCCCTAATCCTCCTTTTATAGGCTTATGTCAAAACCCTATTTCTTGGAGAGCAAGAAAACTTGTTTCCCCAAATAATATGGGGATTAAAATTCTTATCCAATTCCAATCCCAAATCAGCCGCACCATCATCGTTTGTTCGGCCAATTTCCAAAAACTAAGAATAAAATTCTAAAATTGCATCATCGGTCTTCCAATTCTCTAAACTCATTAATTTCTTCTTCATCAATTGTTCCAATCTTCAATTCTTTCCCATTGAGTTGCTTTTAATTTGATTTTAACTCAAAACTTCAACAATTCTTCATTTGAGTACAATTCCTACAATTAAAGATAAAATCACATAAATAGCATATTTGTACTCAAAATATATTGCAAAAATCACAAATTAGTGATATAATAAATAGGTAAAATATAAGCATATCAAATACCCCCAAACTTGAATTATTGCTTGTCCTCAAGCAATCCCAAACATTAAATAAACAAAAACATTTAATTATTTAATTTGGCGGCCTCAGAGATTAAATCACATCATATAACACAAAGATTTCGACTACCTCTAGTATGGACTACCTAACAATGCAAACCATATCTACTTTTAGCCCCCACGCTTGTGTGTGTGCTTCGTTTCTTAGGGACATCACTTTACATTTAACATAGAAAACAAAAGCTCTACTGCAAATATGTCATTTTACTTTAACAACAGACTCACATTTCATACCATATTTCAATGCAATGGACCACCAGACATGCTATGAAGTAGAAGGACTTATCTCACAGGCAACCTATTCCTCCCCGTAACTCATTCTTCGGTCCATGTGGCTTTTCTTAAGGACTCTTTCCAACTCAGGCCACTACCCAGAGCATTTTTCCACTCATATACATAGTGGCTCAGCAACTTAGGGCAGTCTACATATCTATTTTTCCTCACCGGGCCTGAGGACTCTCCGCTCAGGTTGCCAATTCCTTACCTCTCAAGGGCTAGTATCAACATTGAATGCTCTTCCTTTTCTCCCTCATTAAAATTAACCTAACCTCAGAAGCATCCACCAACACCCCTCTCCCAAACTTACTTAACACAAAGTGTCAAAGCAATAAGATTTTTTAAGGCTGATATTGGGTTAATGCTTTGCTTTTCCTTCACAACATGATGGGTTTCACATACAAATCATATAAGTGTGAGTGAATCAAACAACTTTCATGGCATATCTACATCAAACTTATGCAACTATGTCTCACTTTAAACTTATCCCACAGTCACGACTAAGTGCAAAAGAAACAGGGTATTCAAAGCAACATACAGAAATACATAAGTTAAGCAATACAATTCAAAATAGCTTAATTCTTACATGTTATAGATAATCAAACCAACTTCATCATAGGCCTTTTTGGATTTTTCAATTTTTATGGGTTTTTTATTTAAGAAAGATAAACACAAAACGCATTCCTCTCCCCTACACTTAAAGTATACATTGCCCTTAATGTATAAAACACAAAAGACAAGACAACCAAGTGAAAAGAAAAGAAAAGACATAAACAAAAAAATGAAAAGAAACGACACAACCTTGGAATGTGAAGCGGAGGACCGAAATTGTTGAATAAATTGTTGCAACTGCCATTCAAGCACACGACCAACTTCTTCAAACTTTTGGATGTTTCATTTTCAGCACCACTGGACACCAGAGTTTCACCCGTCCAACAAACCTAATTGCAAACTAAAATAAATTAGAAAAACAAACCTAAAAACATATGATTAAGAAAAACCACGAAAATCTAGAAATCAAAGATCTCCAGATAATCAGGAACAAAAAACTTAACCATCAACTTATTAATGAAAGAAAAAGAAAAATAAAACAAAATAAAGAATTGGGTTGCCTCCCAATAAGCGCTTCTTTAAAGTCATGAGCCGGACTTTATGGCTAATCAATCAGGTGGACGCTCAATCAAAGAGTGAAAAACTCTTTCACATATCATTCTTCTTTCGTCTCCAACTGCACCTACATCACTGATGCACTTGTTAGGAGGGTCATTAAAATTAGCAATAAACAGATCATTTTTATCTGGCTCCTTAACAGAATCTACTCTAAACACATGATGAGTAAATGCAGGGCATTTGTAATTTTTAGAAAAAGTGAACTCCACAGATTCTTCTCCAATATGAAATTTTAAACTCCCTTTTTTAACATCTATAACAGCACCAGCTGTGGCTAGAAATGGTCGACCTAAAATAATTGGCACATTAGCATCTTCTTCCATATCTAACACAACAAAACAACAGGGATATAAAATTTCTTCACTTTTACCAGCACATTTTCCAAAATTCCTTTCGGATGAGTTATGGATCTATCAGCTAACTGCAAAGTGATGTTAGTTGGTTTCAAATGTTTCAACACCAGCTTTCTACAAACAGATAAAGGCATCAATGAAACACTAGCACCTAAATCACATAAAGCTTTATCAAAACAAACATCACCCATAGAGATAGGAATAGAGAAACTCCCTGGATCACTCAATTTTGGAGGCAACTTTCTCTGAATAACCGCACTACACTCCTCAGATAATGCAATTGTCTCAAAGTCTTCCACTTTTCTTCGGTTGGAGATGATCTCCTTCAAGAACTTCCCATAAGCCGGAATCTGAGCTAAAGCATCTGCAAAAGGAATGTTAATATGCAATTGCCTAAAAATTTTCAAAAATTTCTCAAACAACCTATCTTGCTTGGTCATATGGAGTCTCTACGGAAAAGGCACTGGTGGAACATAAGGTTTAAACGGTGGTGGCACATATATCTTTTCTTTCTCTTGTTCCACTTTCTCCACTTTTTCTTCATTAATCTGCTTACTCTCTACTTTCTTCTCATCAGTGGTCACATTCACTTCAGTGGTCTTTGGTTCCTCCTTGTCACCCAACTGCTTCCCACTTCTCAACATGATAGCACTACAATTTTCACGAGGGTTGATTCCAGACTTGCTTGGCAGTTGACCTTGCCCACGAGTATTCATGGCGGAGGCCATTTGACTCACTTGCATCTCCAAGGTCCTATGAGCAGTAGTCAATTGATCTAACCTTGCTTCTACTATGTTAGATCGTTCAGTGTTTTCACTCAACAATTTCTCCATTCTCTCCAAACTTACCTCCGTTGCTGACTTAGGTGCAGATTGGTATGACTTTCCTTGGATTTCAGGTCTTGCATTAAAGTCCTGAGCCCCTTGATTATTCCAAGAAAAGTTTGGATGATTTCGCCAACCAGGATTATAGGTGTTGGAGTATGGATTGTTCTGTTGCTGAGGCTTGCTGAAATTAGAGACATATTGTGCACTTGCCAGTTGCATACATTCAGAACTCAAATGAGGACCTCCACAGAATTCACAGACAGTAGCACGGAAGAATGCATTAGCATTTACAAGATTACCCATCACCTTGGTCAGTGCATCTATCTTTGCGTTCATGACACTTAGTTCATTGACTTCATACATTCCAGCAGGCTTCTTGGAA